TCGAGCCTGGTCCACTCCCAGTCTTTCGGAGCTGAATACGAGTATCTCGGAGGCTTTGGTGAATATGTTACTAGGAAAATTGGGTAACTGTTGCCTGGCCTATATGCTCCTTAAGAAAAAGTTGCAACTTTAAGAAAATCCTGTACACATTTCTTGTACATTATTCGTCGGATCTTTGTTATTCAAATTTCCCGTTATTGTAATATTATAACAACTATCGATTCTTAGAAAATATGGCGAACAGACGATATCTTCTCTAAAACATTATACAGATAATTAAAAGACTTATATCGGTTATATAACATCTAAAGAGCACAATATCCCATTATCGAAATGTTTCGCAACTACAATACTTTCTCGCCACTGGTGCGAGAAGTAAAAGTAGAAAAAAGGACAGCGCGTCGTTCTTTGGCTAAGTTCGACTCTGGCTGTCGAACAGAGAAGGAGAACGATGGCGAGGGAGACATGCATAATAGAATTCTTACGTTGCGGTTACATACAGATTTCGAATATTGGAATAGTTGTGTGTTTCGGTTGTCGGATTTAATTTAAGGTGCAATTATATGCACTATAACGGGCACATGCCTTCCGGGGGCATTGGAATGAAGCTCCTCAAGTGATATACGAAGTAGCATATAGAGGGTGTTCCGATAGGTACCTCAGAATTCGAATTTGGCGTTATTTTTGCATCCTTTTCACATATTTGAACGGAAAACTTGTCTGCAGATCAGATACAGTGTTTTTGTCACTTGTAATACACATCTCTTCATAATCCATATCACTAGATTAAACTAAAAAACCAAAGAATCTTGAAGGAGGCCACGCCAATTATAAAAGCAAAACAGAACATATGTCGTGTCGAACAGAGCACAAAGCATGCGCAACAAACACGTGATTGGCAGGCTCCCTCTCATCCATCGAACGGGAACCCTGTCAAGTCTAGCGCCAGCCTTGTGAAGTTCCTGTTCCTAAACAGTTTAACATTAAGCACATGATTCAAATTCTGCGTTAGGGCAGCCACACGGCTCATAAATCGACCATAGATATCTTACATTATGCTTGTGTCATTCAGCGACCTGGTAATTAAGTTATGGATCATTTTATCATTGGAATCGCTAAGCGTTCACTGTATTTTTTCCATAAAAATCATGACAGTGGAACGAAGTCATGCTGAGGATTGACGTCAAGTAGATTGACTCTGTACTTCTCACTCAATTCTGGACAAATGGCCTTTGAATACGCTGCATCGTATGTTTTCACTTTTGCGCATTCTGGTAAATTTTTTTCTAAAATAGTACATGTTGCATAATATGTGGACAACTGTTGTATGCCCTGATATCATTGCTTCATCGTGCTTCGTTGACGACTTTGATGAAGCTGCGGCTGGGGCACCGTCGGCGTTGCTGAATTAGGATTGGACCCTCCGTGTGATCCTGGGTACCTGATCTTTCCGGAGTCACAGACGCCGATACTAAAAGAAAAGGAAATAGTTCTTAGAATTACCAAATCATTTATGCTTCTGTGGGTAAATTCAGTTTATTTACGTATAGCTATGTTAAAGGGCCAATTTCACCAACAACAGTCCGTTATTCTCCACCTGTAGGGTAACAGACCGTCAAATACAACGAATGAGCTTCAAGTTCCAATCAACAAATTTTAGCAACCAATAGCTATGAAATGTTGAAAACAAAATACTGTCAAAGTATGAGATGACAGCTTGTTATTGAAACATCACCAGCTTATTGAATATTAAGAAATCACATATAATTCAGTCAAAATTTAAAGAAATGTTGGATTTTTGAATAAAATTTATGTTTTAATTACTATTACTGAATTTTTATTCATGTTTATATTATTTTCTTGAATTGATATGCGATACTGGGTGTTTTTCATATCAAACTCTTGCAGATAGCCATTAAGCACCTACTTGATAACAGGCTCTACCAAAAAGATATTCCTCATTTCCAAACATTAATTCATTCACTTGCCGTTCATCAGAACCATTATGGCGCCTTAGATTGATATTCCCACTAAACCATTCAGGTTTTTTGATATCCATACATACATAAAGTTGAATATTTTTCATTGTTCAGGAACTGAACAAACCCCACACTATATTCACAGCGATTAAGAAATTCCCAAATATATGCCTTAAAGCTACTAGCAAACCTAAAACCTGCAAAAAAACTACAAATTTGACATATTTTTCTTTTCTCACGAGTACACATTCTAGGTTATATTTATATTAGACATTATTTGAATACAGCTGATTATTGCATTTCAAGGAGTGACACATGTGTGGGATCTGTCAACTCTTGGTACCAGTCACAAAACATATACTCTGAAGGTTTAATTCCATGCTATTCAATCACAACACGGTGACTTGTGTGATTGTCAGCGGCCATTTTGTGAGGGTGCGACAGGGAGCATTAATATCCCGTTTTACCGTCCTGGTCCCAGTGGAGTAAGTTCCGCCAACTGTTCAAATATACTCTACTATGCTTTATAAGACTATTCGTGACATTATTCCCAAAATCATTGCACAACACTTGAAAAGATGCAAATGAAAATTTAAAATTATGTAAAGATGCTTATAATCATGATACCTAGTAAATTTACATGAAAAATCCTCTGTATGTAGGTATATAAGAGCTTTCTTATATTTGTTCATCAATTTGATGATACAACACATCTGCTAAAAATGATCATAATCAGGATAGTAAACTATGACGAAGGTCCACTGTATGTAAGCATTTTCAGATACTTCATTTGCAATTTCACAACAGACCATGACGATGTTCACATTTTTCAAATATTCTTCAAGAAGTATTATCAGTCAACCTCCAACTATCATAAGTACTACGTTTGTATTCCTACTTTAAACTCAAAAGCAGCAAATGTAAAAGATTCATGTCGCACTCTTCACCACGGGACGTGATCGTCGTTAGAGGTGGCAAGCCTGCGAGTGCCAGATAGATAACCCACCAGTGAATAAACATTAATAGTTTTTATGATTTTTGGACTTAAAAGACATTATTTGTGAGACATTTTTCATAATTTTTTGTCTATGTCCATAGTAATTGCATTATGTATCACGGAGATGTAGGGATTGGACACGTCTTACACATATTATCTGTGTTTTAGGATGGAGAGGACAACGTTATTATTGCTTTGAAGAAATTCATTAACCCGTAAATTAATAAATGATTACTATTAAGATGTAAAGGAAGATGAGGAATTGGACGGAATGTATTTTATATTCTATTTTCTTGCAAAATACAGACAAATCCACACTATTCAACAGGTATGTAATGATAGCAGTATATTGAACTTAAATTCGAGATTGCCATGCATTAACAAACGTCCAAATCTGCTGCCAAATTTAACAGCTAGGAAATCGACCTATTATTTCTCTCATTCCCATTCGCTGAAGGGATAACGGATTGTCAAATGTAAACTTATAACATAAATCAAATACATGAAAGTTGTCCTGCTTTCTCTGTACAAAAGCATCATGTTGGAATAAAAAAGTGGTCTTGTTTATAATATAGTCGAATTTTCACGATTTTATTCAATATTTTAATAGAAATCACTGATATTCAGAGACGTTTGGCAGCTTCTGTCAAATTGCATTTCGATAGGGTATTTTCCCATTGGTCCATAATATTAATGTTGTTGAAATTGGCCCTTAGTGATATTTGTATGTTACGTGAATAAACTTATTATTATTATTTATTATTGTCGACTTCACTCGAGGACTTGTTCTCATGTACGTCACTGGTTCTCAGTAAGCACGTTTCGCGGTATAACAAACGTGCAAGCAGAATTCCTATATTCTAAATTGATGTCTACTTAGCACTTCTATTTATATCATATACTTCCTAGTTGAGTTGACTACGAAACGCAAATTATTTGTTCTGGTTTCGTTAATCGAGCATTTGTTGGTGCAGAATGAGGTTTCCGAACCATGAGCTACTTAAAACGCAGCGATCATTGTTATGCACACCGATAGGTTCAGAAATGTGTGGAGCTATCCAGACAATAGGCTTATGAGTAGTTTCCCAACCACGGTTCTACCGATCCATACGTACGATAGCAGAAGACTAAAATTTAGAATTGGTCAACAGGGATATTTTGTGTAAGAATTCAATTTCTGTGACAATAATTTTATTGGTGTTATCTTTAGAATATTGCTTCTTAATAACTTGAAATTGGCGACCTGGTGGTGTAACGCTCTTGTATAGCGTGGAACAACCTCATGATACCGACGTTGGACAAATAATAGTAAAGTCAACATGGCTATGAATCGTCATAAATTAGTACAGGTGCCATAAATTAGTGTAGATATAATGAATTTGACTTTGGACATTAAAAACGATGTTTTCATTACAATAGGGCTGAAGCATTTGCTGCCATATCGATAAACGCGTTTGACCGAAAATCTTGAAAACTATCAATCTTATGTAAGCAAGTATGATCAACAATTCTGTAGAGAAATATATTCTTTATCATTTTGCTTCTATAAAAATGTATCGTTGAGTCAACAGGTTACGGTATATTAAAAACTGAGAATCTAGCACTAACGTTCTCTTACATTCTTACATTCCTTCGACACCTTAATGATTCTTGAAGTATAAGGAGAAAAGAAATTCTGTATCAAAATAATAGAGTGATATTCTTCATGCGCAACGTAGGTATGTTTTTTTGTCCACATTATCCGCATACATTATTTCACGGGGATATAGGTGAATACGGGAGGGTCGCCGCACTCTTTACAAAATGGCTGTAATTTTCTTAATGTTCAAGATTTTTGTGTAAACATGAATCAAAACACAGGTACTGACTTTATTGAGATACAAAAATAAACTTGGATTCTAAAGAAACATGAACATAGCAAAAACAATTTTTTTTATTAAAATCGTCATCTCTCCCACACTACTGGGAGAATGCCGCATCGAAATAGGATAGATGCCCCAATATCGGCATCTCTGAAAAACCTTTAATTTTCATTTTTTTTTTCTCAAGTCGAATCCAGAGCAGATGCCACACACTTCACCATACATAGTGCAAGTGAGATGTAGCCATTTTAAGCGTTAAGGCACTACAGTCAATCCACATTTTTAGTTGTCGTTTCGTAAACTTCAAGGCAGTCCACTCTCAGCGTTCCCGATTTTCATTTTTCTTTTTGACCACAGGCGTTCATCTTCGCTGTGACTCCATTAGTTTTTTTTTGGCTCTTCCTCTAGTTGTTTTAGTTGATTTTTTTGGATTTTTAGTTCCTTTTTCTTTTTTGCCACATTGGTTGTTTTATGTTTGTCAAGGCGAACCCTCTTTGTTATTTTTCGGGTGATGTTAACACAGTTGCGCTTTGCCTTTGCTTAAAGGATACAGGTAATTTTGGGATAGGAAAAACTTCTTGCAAAAGTTTTGAAGGAGTAATTTGTGGACCGTCGCCGTCATCTTCCTACCACATGTTTGAACAGGACGAGTAGGGCTGGTGGAGGGTGATCCTAAGCTGGGACGGTCAGCATCTCTTTCTGGGGAAGTATTTGTCATGGATGAATTGGTTATAGAATAAAAGGGATCCGGAATAGCATTAGGATCAACAGGATATATCCCTGTTGCCTTGAAACCGTTAATGGCTGTGACCTCAGATGCTGATCTTAACAAACTTTTTCCAATTAATGCACCGGCTTGATATCTCGTAAGGTTTCTGCTGGCGTTGTGTTTCATCCATAACTGAGCTTCTTGGTTAACATAAGTTTTAAATGGTTAAAAAAACTATGGTCTAGTGGCTGAAGAGCCTGCATACACACAAAACAATTATATCGTTACAGTCAGTCACTTGCAGCATATCGCCGTCAGGACTGAAGTGTGGCCATCCGGGATTAATAAACATTTGCCGGATGGCTTATTGGGAATAAACTTTAACCATTTAAGAAATTATTCCGAATTTATGAAGGATTACTGTTAATTCATTTGAATTTTGGATCCAGCTGGTAATCCATCTAAAAACTCAACCTTTTAGCTTACACCTTTGAAAATTAAAGTGGGCGGAATAAACCTGCCGTCTGCAGTACAGCATGCAACAACAGTAACTTCTTCTCCTCGCTCTTTAGATGTTAAAACGTTGACATCTCTTGCACCATTCGTTGTCAGTACTTTCTCAGGTTTGTTGGCCAGTTGAACACCTGTCTCGTCCATATTGAAAATATGAGATGGCTCATCCAATAAATTATTTTCAGTTAAGGTATCAATCAAAAGTTGAAAAAATTTTAAAGTCTTTTCTCTATTCATTCCTCGAGCTCTTGATAATGACAATCCTTCAGCTTGTCTTATTGACACTCCGTGGTTTCTTTCTAATAATGTTGAAAGTCAAACCGCTATTGTGTGAAAATTTTTGTTTTAGTTTCAGCTTCTCAGCAAAGTTGTAAGCCAGTCGTCGAACTGTATTTTTATTAGGAGCAAATCCAGCCGCTGCCAATCGTTGGGTGTGAACAACCAACCGTTTTTCATTTGTATTCCCAAAAACGCCTTTAAAAAGTAAGTTATGAGATAATGCTAAAGTAACATTCAAAATATCACTTACCTTCTGGTCCGGGACTCCCTTTCTCAAGGTTACCACTGGCCATTCTACGTTTAAGGGACTTTGGTGTGAAATGAAAACGCCTATGAGCTTCTCTTTTGGACATCTCGGCGGAACTAACTTTATTAATGGATTCTTGCAATAATTGTTCTTTGATCCACAAAGCCCTAGGGCGTGTACTTGCCTTCCTCTGATACTTTCGTGGCATTTTTATAATAAAAATGTAACTTTAATTTAATAAAAGCCATGACGAAACAATAATTTTGAAAAAATAATATGCGGCATATCTGCTTTCTAAAAATTTAACAACTGTCCCTTTTGTTATGACAGATGCCGCGGCCGCTTATCAAGATCGCGCATTTAAAACGCTCTAAAATAAATCATGGTATGTGGAAACATGACCTCAAAATACTGGAAAAACAGTACGAATATCAAATAAAACTACCACGGTGCAAAGGACCACACTTGTTAGAATAGCACTTTTGCAAAGAAAATTTAATCTTACCTTCCTAAATTCGAGGATAGCACGCGATATTTCTGAAAACAAACGCATATGAAGTCATAACTGTTCACTAAACAATCAACTCCCATCATGGCTATACTAGGTTGCCTACTATATGACATTAATATTGAAATATCCCGCATTTACCTACTTCATAACTTTTGTTCCTTATACCTGAAGATCCATCAAAGTGTCGTCAATACTTCTTGTGGATGAACCGATAAAACAGCTTGTGATTGCGAAAACATTATTGTCAGTAATGGAGCTGACTGATGTCAGTCACTATCAGTAAGTTTGTACCACGATTGGAGGTGCTCAAAGACTAGAAACCATGGAAAGTATGGTGAGGTGGTACTTTAACTAATGCGTTTTGATATCGTTCACCACGGATCACTGCGGCCAGGGGGACGAGATGTCTACCCAGAATACGAGTGGGTGGAAGCTTGTGTTATATACTGTCATGTAGGGCCGAAACCTAAACACCGGCGCACCATAGCTGCGATACGGAGCTTGAAGACTCCTTGTTATTCCTATGCAAGACTGCATAATGTTGGTGGAACTGGGAAAATACTGCTCAGGCAGATTGCGCCACAATCTCGCCTACCCAGGAACAAAGTAGCGGTCGTGGAGAAGAGCTCCTAGTAGGAAAGCCAGTTGACGTAGGGGAAGGGGAGATCCAAATCATAGACCGTCTGTTGGTGCTAAAGTGTCTCGAGACGCAGCGTTAGAGATGGTTCATCGATCAGACGAATTGTGGTTCTCTCAACCGCGTCGACATGAACAATGTAGTCAGAGCGGCTGCACCCTAGCCATGTGAGCAGTAGGGAGGCTGGACCTTGCCTGCGCCTTTCACTAAGTGAGGTGGTTAAATAACCTAACTTTTTTCTACGAGCTGTTGCGAATAACGAGATGTGTCCGTGCCAAATCAAGTTCTCGGTGATCTGGACTTCAATCAGCTGAAACAAGTGGGTCTTTGACTGAGCTCGGTCATCCATCAAAGCCGGATTATCGCTACGGCTCTTCTTATTTTGGCAGCAATAAACTGTTCCAGATTGTTGCTTTCCCGGCCTCAGTCTCCTATTAGTTTTGAGACTGTCCGGATTTTCCTACAAAGTAGAAATTTGGTATATGTTGATCCAATTAAAGGATAGAGCAATTAATTAGACCGAATCGTCTCGATCTACCGATCGATACTGGGTAATGATCACGCTCTCAAATCATCATTAGCATTTGAGAAGATATTCCACTTGCACGGAATTTAAAGCCGACCCATAATTTCATTCCACGCAAAAGACACAAAAGGACGAACCCTTTCGCAGTGCAGGAAATGTGCAAACAGAGTAATAGTACGCTCCAGAGGCGTAGACATACTACAGTTAGCGTCTGCACTTCCAAAGCATACATAATTTTATGTCTAGTATTCCGTAATGTATGACTAGGGATTTGGTAAGTGCCTCCTAATAAAGCAGGATCCGGAAGAGCCGATATTTTTTGATAGCGCTCCGATCTAGGAATTTCTTCCCTGCCCTTATCGAAAGTATTGACCACTTGACACGAGTAGTGTGGCGATGTGATCAGCGGCAGGCGGAGACAAGATTTTGCGTGCACAGGGGTAAGTTTGTTACGCACGACCTAGAAGCGACACGTCCGTCTATACTTCTTCGATTAAGAGCACCTATAAGAAAACATACTTGATAAATGAAATATGATGTATGTACTCATAGGTGCGTACAATTAACGTGGTTGGAAGCGTCAAAAAATGAAATTTGTGCGAATTTACTAGATCGATTTTCAAAAACTACAAAGCTGCCTCGCTGTTAGCATAGTACTAATCTTAGATGACAGTTTCATCAAAATCCGAGTGGTATTTTTGAAGTTAAGTTGCAGAGTGGTCAAAAATCAGCGAACTGACCGACGGACCGACGGAAGAGAGTGACATGGTTTTTAGTATCTCACGTAACATCCAAAAAACATACCCCAATTTCGGTTACAATAGTTAGCATGGTAAAAGTCTTTTTGAGAAAAAAAGAGTTGTTCGGTGTATGGTGGGTCTAAACATGACACACAGCTGTAGGGAGCTACACAAGAAACTAAGGATCTTGACATTGCCTGCCCTATTTATCTATGGAATTGGCTACCTCATCATATATCAATAAAACAAATTATAACTTGGCTCGGACGTACACAATATCGAAACTCGCCAGCGACTAGAAATTCACGTCCCATTTGCGAAATTCAAAATTAGCAACCAGCCTCACCACATCTTAAGACCGAAAATATTAAACACGCTACGGAAACAAATCAAAAGAGCAGGATCGTTGAACATTTCTAAAAGTAGGGTGAAACTATCTCATTGAAAAATGTTTTTATTCTGTGGCTGATTTTATCAGTATTTAAGATTTTATCCTGAATATCGTTGGTTATTACTGTTGTATGTTCGTGTTTTTTTTTATATATGTATAATATTTTATATACGTGTATGTGTATGTGTGAGTGTATATAATGGGTCTTATGAATAAAACGTAGCAAATGCTTTCACTTCAAATTCATGAAGCAAAACCTTCAAAGTATGATAAATAAAGTTGGAGCACATGCTCTACAACCGGAAGAAAAGCATTTGCTGCACCATAAGCAAACACTTCAGATTGTATGAGTCAAATCAAGCTTCTGCTAGGGATCTATAGCACAGTCTTCATTTTTCTGAAGGTATCTCCACCCAGCTCCAGTGCAGACTTCGGCTTCAGGAAAGAGACACGTCTGTGATAATTATGGCGTTTCTAAATAATCTAAGAGCCGTAAAACGTTACAAAAGACACGTAGAAACATCACCTAATGATTTTAAGTGCCTTTATCGTTTCAATGAAGCAAACGTGCATTGGTTAGCCAACCATTTCTTTGGTGACGAGACGGAGACACGTTGTGGTGCATTATCACCGTTTCTGAAAATGAAAATGTTTTTGCGGTTTATCGCTGATCCGGTTTACCAAAACGGCGTGGGGGAAATCATTGGAATTCACCAAAGTACTGTGTCGAAAACAATCGCTGAAGTAACCGAAAAAGTCTGGCAGAAAGCAAATCTGTGGATCAAGTTTCCATCTTCCAATAAGGAAATACGTGAAGCCCAGCGTCGTTGGCATGAGGTTTATATGCTTCGAGTCGTAGTTGGAGTTGTGGATTGCACACATGTTCGTATTCAAAAGCCAATTTGGAGATAAATATATAAACCGAAAAGGTTTTGCGAGCATCAATGTACAAGCAACGTGCGATGCACAAGACAAATTTAAAAGTGTAGATGTACAATGTCCCGGTTCTACCCATGACAGTAGAATCTGGAAAAGGTCTAACATTTGTGCCGTTATGCGTTGCAATACAGAACGAGCTCTGCTCCTGGCAGATGAAGGGTATGGAATAGAGCCCTGTTTAATGACTCCCTGTCGAATTCCAAATACACCACAAGAGATCCGATACAATAATTTGTTGAAGAAGGAAAGAGCTTGTATTGAACGTTGCTTTGGACAGCTGAAGCAAAGAATTTCCATACTGCAATATAAAACTCGAGTGAAGCTTACAAACATCCATAAAATAATAGTTTGCTACATTATTCTACACAACATCGCAAAGACACTGGGCGAATTGGAAGAAGTGCAGCTTAATAATGAGGTAAATAACTCTGTTGAACAAAATGCGGACGACGACTTTAACAACGTTAGGAGAATTGGAATGCGAAGACGGGAGGAAATTTCCCATCTCATTTTTCAACAGGGTAATTTGAAAGTTATACTTGGACGGCTTTTTGCAGAAAGAAACTAACCCACAACACAAACCTTATTGAGTAATTAGGGTTTCGAGTTTTGACAATATTAAAAAATTCATCATAAATTAAAAACAATTTTAATCAATGGCATCTTAAAGGTGTATATAATATAACTAAAATCTGTAAAGTATATAATGCATTATTTTTATGAAATTTAGATTTCCTATTCTTAGTGGGTTGGTTCCTTCCTGCAAAGAGCCGTCCAATTATATTCCAAGACCTGGAATACAAAATTTATTAAAATATAACAAATATCATAAATACAAAACTCAAGCATAATCTGAGAGAAGGAATACAAATTTTGTGTACATTTACTGATGAAGAACAAATATTTCAACATAAATATCGCACTCTCAAAGTACGGTGGGGTAGTTTATACCTGTGTATACACGTTATCATGTTCTGTAACTAACTCCTTCTCAGGCTCACTCTCTTCTAACTCTCTCATCCATTTTCTTTTCTTTAACCTCAAGACTTCCAATTCTTCTAACAAAACTAATCTCTGTAATTCAGTGGTTGATGGGTTTTGTGTTTCCGATGTCTCTGGAAGACAAGCTTTTTGCTTTTTCTTTGACAGCGAGCTAGTTGCGGTCTCTACAACCATAACAGATGAGTGAGACTCCGAGGAGATACCTTCTACCGAAACAGCAGTCTGTATCGATGGTGGCACGCCAACTTGCACAGCACCTAATGAAATTTAGTTTCATAATTTATAGTTTATAATAAAATAAATATTTGACTCCTACTTGGTATTTTGCTTAAGTTCGGGTTTCTGTCGCCATCCATTAACCTCCAAAATGCCTGTTCCCATATCTTCAACTGTATTTGTTTGTTGCCAG